TTGCAGATAGGCTAACGCAACCAAAAATTGGCTGTTGCAGCCAATTAAAAATGCTATGCCATATTTTACCATCTAATTTGCTGCAACAGCCAATTTTTTTTTCAGTGTATCTCTGTCATTTATATGATTGCAATACATATCCAATATCGCAGTACCTGCTAGAAATTTATCTATTCCAACTATTTTTCGTACTTAGATAATTTTCGCTGTAACTGTAAGATCATTTTTTTGAGTGTATGTATCTGCGAATTACTCGAGTACCTCTGCGGCTGTGCTCTTCTATTATTAGCTTTTCAATGGAATTTCTTGGCTGGCATATTTTTACGCGTAGGCAATTCAATAAATCCGACAGCTCGTTCCCCCGTAGCAAAAAATTCGCGTACTTTACACACAGTGTTAAGAAAGTCAACCCCATGAAGAGTCCTTCGGTCAATTCTTGAATGTGGTCGCACGTGCGAATTACTTCTAGCACATCGAGTATCGTAAATTCATATATCAAGAGAAAAATCGCATACCTACAGATATCCACCGCTTTAAATAACCAATGAACAAATTGACGAGAAGAAGAAAAGCCCCATAGACATAACAAAATTCACAAACTGATGCAGGAAATGCTTTATATGCATACGTACTATTTTTATTATATATTTTAGTATAACTGTGTGTATAACATACCTATAACAAAGGTGCAAAAAACCAACGCACATATTATTGTCTTCCCGCTCTTTCCATGCGCCACAAAAACGCAGAGCCTTAAAGTTTACTGGTAGAATGTCCATATCGTCATACACGTATTATTCTCACGTAATTGCCGACCTTATTCTTGTTCCGTTTCAGTCGTCGCGAAATTTTCTTCGTCTTTTTAATATTGTATAAGTTCGTTTTTCTCTCTATATCACGTAATAAAATTTCCGACAACATTCCGTCAATACGAGCTGCATTAATAATGCAGTACAACGTTGTCAACGCACGTTAAATTTTAATTCGATCGAATTGCCGGTCTGTTATCAGAGCCCTTTTTCAACATCACGTATATGTTCAGTCACCATAGAAAAGAAACTGTTTTTAAATAATATATTTGTAACGTAAGGATTATTGCGTGTCTCACAATACAAGAATTTGTTGACAACTCTTCTCTTGTGCAATATTAAATATCTGCAGGAAAATATAGATACAGGAAGTAGCAATGAACCGGTGAAGGATATAGACTAGTGCTACGTAACTGATAAACTGCATAGCCTGAAAGTGGAAAAGGTAAAAAGTTTTCATGAAGTGCCTGATTATATAATTACAAATCGATTAAAACTGATTAACGATAATTTAATTACTGTAGTGCATGTGTGTATCTTATTCTTTTTAGTGAAATAAATAAATATTAAAAAACTTAATATAAAGTTGAATTTTTTCAGAAAGTATGATATTACATCTTTGTGCCATAATAAAATATAGAATTATACTTTCATATAGATTTTAATTTTTTATAATACACACGTGTGTCTATTAGTTTGACATTTACTGCAAAAGATTAAAAGCTAATTAAGTCTAAAAAATCTAAAAAATGAAATTAAATTTACACTATTAACCCTTAATACACTATTAACCCTTAATACACACCTTTGGGTCATTCGTGTCCTGCGCGCATTTCTTTTTTTTATATACTAAGAGCACTATTTGACTATTCTAGTAATACTGTTATAAGTATAAAAGATAATAAAAACCGTACATCTACGTATTTTAACACATGTAGAATATTGTCCTGTATGAAATAGTCTATTAAAAAATAATTAATAGTTTAGAGACGATTCTATTTTAGAGGGCTTTCATGTGTATATACATATCTAAAATACATTGTAAGAATTGAAATAGATTGTAAGAAATAGATTGTAAGAAAATACGTAATTTTATACAATCTGTAATTCTTTTCATAATTTCAATCTAATCACATCGACGTCTGTTGTAAGACATTAAAGGCAGAATAAGACGTTTTTAAAATCTGCAAAGGAAGGATTGTTGACTGTTATTTTGTTATTGCCATTAGAGGCTATACAAAGTGAATTATCATCACAAATTTACCCAAGTGAAAGTGTCGAGAGCCAAATTAAAAATTCCGTAGTAAGACAGCTTCAATCCCTTTTGACTAGTGGCCATTACGAATAACAGACTTCTGCGATCTCGCGTTGTGGCTGTCGTCCAATTGCTCGAATAAATAGCGTCGCCAATGCCTTTGCTCTATACATACACACGACAAAAAATATTTTCACCGTTTATAGTAAGCTCATTTGAAATAATCAATAATTGTATAATTATAAGTAATTTATAATTTAACATAAACATAAATAAATATTACAAGACTAAAACGTGTTCTATAAACATATCATCCAGAATTCCATCATGAATTAAAAGTTGAAATCGGCTTTAATTTACTTTATTATTGTTATTTATAATAACTTATACCTTTAATTGCAGTTCGTTTCCGTACCAGCAGTAAAAGAATACTTGAAACAGCATACAGCTGAGATACAAAGTCAATGACAGAAATCCGACGCTGAGAAGCCTCTTCTACAAGAAAAATTAATTCAGTATATTTGTGGAATACCGCCATACGCATTGTAAATTAGATATTTAGCAGTAGCGACGTTTTTTTAACGACGATTTTTTATCTGCTATTACAAAAAGATATTTAAAATAATATTAGAAGAATTTCGGCGGCGCCGATTGAATTATAAGGAATTAATTGTAAGGATCATTGTAGGGATTTCAGTTTACGCGACCTTGGACATTTGGAAAATACTGGTGCACAGGGTCACCATGCTGAAAATGAATAAAATCGTCACGGTCCACACAAACAACGATTGTATCCTGCGCACAATCTCGTGTACGTATAACTGATGTCTCACGCACTCGCTGATCATCGTGCCTTTATCCGTATCGATTTGGTACTGCTCCGGATGATCCTTGTAGATCTTGGATAGACGATAACATAGCAGTTCGATTTGTCCACAGACGTGAAGGGTGAAACCGTAAACGAGGGAGTCGAACGAGACATTGAGTAGTACCCCATAAAATATTGCGCCTACGTGCTGAAGGTAGGTCGCCAAATATGGATATAAACCAGATATCGAGTATGGTAGATATGTTTTAAATGGTAGAGGTCTGTCGGTATTTTGGGGTCCAACGATGGGAGCGAGTATAAGAGCTATGCAAGTTGCTTGAGATATACTCATGAAAGTTCTGACACACCATTTGACTGTGGTAAACATAAATATTAAAAATATATTTTTTCAAGTTTTAATATACCCTTAAATATATATTTTCAGACTAAAAGTATATCGTAGAACGAAAGAGATGAGGGTATCAAATATAAAGTTAATAAGAGTAAAAATAAAAGTTATATTCTGATATAATATTAACGTTAAACAATATTAATTTTGAATTTAATTAACTTTGGTATATTTTTTATGAAGATTTATCGATGTTTGTTATTATCTATCAAAATCTTAATATAATTGCATTACTATAGTAATATATTACAAATAACTTTAACTTTAAAGAAATATTGAAATTCATTATTTGCAATAATTTCATTAGAACGACAATTACTAGCCAAATACCTTTACGATCGTACTTAATAAGGATCATCCTTTCTTCAGAATTCCTTGGTTGACACGTTTCTCTTCGAAAACAATCCAACAACATGGACACCTCGTTTTTTCGAACTAAGAAGTTCCCATATTTAAAGCATAAAGCTACATAAGTTAACGCTAAGAAAAGTCCTTCGGTTATACCTTCGATATCATCGTGCGTCCTTACAAGCTCAATTACTTCTGATATCGTAAATTCGTATATTAAAATAACAATGGCATACCTGCCAAAATTTTAGTACGTCTCAACATCTTAACAATTTTAGTTACATCTTGATTAAGTAGAAATATCTAATAATGTCTGATCGTGAAACACCTTTTCAATTAAAACAAAATTTAATTAAAATCTAGGAAAACCTAAATAAAAATTAAATAGAAACAAATTTTCTATACATAATCAGATAATGTACTAAAATTATAGTCCTTTTTCATACTCAATATTAAAGCTGGTAATAAAAATCACATAAACAAATTAATTTTTCAAGAAAAAAAAGAAAAAAGGAAAATTAGTTGTAGAACAGTGCAAACACAAATATAAATATAATAGAGATTTATATTCGTAATAGAGAAACAAGAAAAAAGTATTATTGTACCTGTAGCAGAAACTTAAAAAACGAATGAAAACACTGTTATTATTTTTCTTTTCGTTCCATGCACCACAGAACCAGAGAACTCGGAAATTCAATGGCAATATATCCATAATTCCGGAACGATCACTATAGATAGTCTCCCTTTTGTTATACCTTACTATGCTTTGAAAATATTACGCTTGTAGAGAAAAATATAACGAGACTTTCTATACATTGTCAGCGTCCGTTCTCGTGAATTAATAATATCGCTGGAAACGTTCTATAAGCGTTCGAAATGTTCTAAACATTCTTTAACATTTAATGACAGCGGCAGAATTAGTTGATTTTCCTTCTTCACTACGTTTTCTTTTCGTCTTTATATTCATTTTCATATAATCATGAGACGTCTGCGATAACATAACCGGTCATTATTTTTTAAATTATAAACTTGTGTAGTGTATGCAGTATCAAATGTACGAAGGAATACTGAGAGTGAGGGATATTAAAGTATTATTACTATTGATGTGACATGAAAGAGGTTCTTTTGCGAGCATCACTCGCCTGTCAGAAAAATTAACAAGAAACTGAAAATTTTGTAAGGAGAATATAATAAATCGAATTGAGAAGTGCAGAAGTGCACAAAATAAATTGCAAGTATGTTTTTGGATTCGTACATCGTTTTGAATTACTTCGCAAACATATTTAACAAGAAGTTTTATTTTATTTTTATCATGAAATACACAGGACTAAAGAATAATTTATTTAAGACGAATTTCCCTATGTAGATATAAAAATATCTATAAAATTCTAGAGACAAATGTATATATAGTAGATACGAAAATAAGTTTTATGTTAATTTGATTAGAATGGTAATACAGTTGTTGAAGAATAGATACGAAGATATTAAATCGTAGCTTGCTGCAGCAAGTTGAAAGAAGAATAGGATGTCTTTAAAATCTATACAGAGACAAAGAATAAAAATTTAAACATTTTGTATACAACATACCCAGTAAACACAAATTACACATAACGTATCTGTCAGTTGTAATTTCCCACACGTGTTATATTACAGTTATATTATTGAGTGAGAAATTACAACTAACAGGTACGTTACATGTATTCACTGGGTATATACAGATTTTATATTACACATCACGTATTTAAAAAATTATATATAGCACATTGAAAAAAATGTTCTGATTGAACCAACAAAAATGGCATTTTGATGAGACTAAACAGAATTTTTGGTTATAATAACCAGAAATTTAATTTAGTCTCACCAAAATGCCTTCCTATTGGGCTCTTTCAATTGTTGGTTTAATCAGAATATTTTTCTTAGAGTAGTGTATTTTAAGAATCGTAATTATATACATATTTAATATGCTTACCCATGTGAACGTGCTAAGAACTAACGAGCAAATTCCATAAAAAGAAAGCATTCTGCCACCCTGGCTCATCATCATCATAAATGATAAACTTTTGCGTTGCTTTGTCGATATTACTGTCCAGTCACTAGTATAAATTGCATGCGCGATACTTTTATTCTGATAAAAAAATATTTAGCTTAACAAATGGATTTAAAAGTAAAATAATCTAAAAGTTTATGTATATCACTAATACCTTTAAATCAAGCTCATTGCCATACCAGCAATATGAGAACACTTGAAACAGCATTGCTCCTAAGTATACTAAAAAACCGAAGAATTCAACGCTGAAGAACATTTTCTGCAATATAAAGACATCGATTGAACATTATCTACACTTAGCTGATATCAATCCTATACATGTTTTAAACCAATTTTTTATACATTAGACATCTGATAGACGCTGCTGCAAAGAGTGATAAGGCTGAAGAAGAACAAAATGGTGATAATCCACATAAATAACGATTGTATTCTGTGCATGATATTGCACACCGAAACATGATGTTTCACGCATTCCGCGATGGCAAATTTCTCGATGACGTCGTGCTCTTTCTCTTTATTGTTCTCCTGTAGAAATCGGAATGTTTCCGATAATCGATAGCACATCAACTCGATCTGCCCGCAAGTATGAATAATGAAACCGTAAACGAGGGAATCAAGAGCGACGTTTAGTGATACCCCGTAAAATACAACTGCAACTTGCTCAAGATAGGTCAACAGATAAGGAAGTAACTCCACCATAGAATACGGTACGTACATCTTCATCGGTAACTGCCTTTCATTCTGAGTCATTAAAGGTCCTATGAGAACCAAGAAACCCGATATTTGCGAAATGAACATGAAGGCACAGGCTATCCTTTTAGCTTCGTTCATAATACATCACGACGAAGTGGAGTTTGCAAAATAATTAGATTCTATGAGATGAAGGAATATATACAACAATTCATATTACATATTACGTATTTAAAAAATTATGTATACATTGAAAAAAATGTACTACTTGAACCAACAAAAGGGCCCAGCAAGAATGGCATTTTAATGAGAATATAAATAGAATTTCTAATAATAAAGAGAAATTTAATTTAGTCTCACTAATGCCTTCTTATGCTATAATGATTATAGTTATATCTATTCTATAAGAAAACAACTTTCCCATAATTTAATAATAATAATTTGCATTTAATAATAATAATAGTAATAATAAGTAAAGAGCATTTAATAATATAGTAATAAATAAAGAGACAATTAAGACTCCTCTACTCTTAATAAATTAAAATTAAATTTTTTGTTGTAATTATAAACTTTTCTGTTAGAGCATCAATATTTCATCATTCCAATATCAATTCGAAATTAAATAATTAAGTATATTGTAAGACTCGGCTCAATTTGAATAAATTCAATTATATTAAAACGAGAAGGGCTATTAGAGCCTAGCAAGATAACTTATGCTATAATAAAACTTTATTGAAATAAATAATAAACAACTTTCAATAACAACTTTCAAATTTTTCGACCTTTTTCTAACAGTTTTCTTTAATGAATATGTCTAACTTACATGTGTTACTCAGTATATAATAGTAATCTTCTTATAAAACTACTTGTTACCTACTAATACATATTAATCCAAATGTTCTTTTACTCGTTTTTGCTTGCTATATAATATTTTTGCTAGTAGAAAGTTGTTTATTATTTATTTCAATAAAGTATTTTATTATAGTGTAAGTTATTTAGCTATAAGACTCTAATAGTCCTTCTCATTTTAATATAATTCGAAGTTATTTCGAGATTCACTTATGATATACATCCCATACAGCACAGAATTTGCAGCAATATCACTGAAAAATCTCTGCAATATAGCTGTAACATGTTTTGCAACTTTGTATTGTAGGAGATATAACACTTTAAATCATTATATAAAATGAAATTTATTTGAATGAAAAATTATATTGTATTAGCAGCCACGGATAATGTAAAGATTTTATCATTTGAGCATAATTTTATATATTAATTTATATAAACAAATATAAGAATTTATATATACACATCATAACAATAATTATTTTCGTTACTTTAATTACTTTATATTTATTTTAATTACATGTTATATTTGTTATTTTTATACAAAACAAAAAATGTTTAAAATGAAATTGTTATTATTATTAGATATCATTTTAAACATTTTTTGTTTTGTATAAAAATAACAAATATAACATGTAATTAAAATAAATATTGGGCATATAGTATTTATTAGGACATCGATATATCTATATATTTTATCGTTTTGATATCTATTCAAAGTTATTTCGATTTGTTTCGAAATAACTTCGAATAGATATCAAAACGATAAAATATATAGATATATCGATGTCCTAATAAATACTATAATTTGCTTACTTAAAAGTTTGGCGATTAATATATTCATTTTCCTTTAAAGAATGTTTGTAAAGCGAAAACATCGAAATAAGCTTCAAATTTCGAGCTATATTTCGATGGAATTTCGTTGATTCGGACGTTAATTTGACGTCGAATCGATGAGTCATTTCTTATTGGGCAGTGTACAGACAATATTAAACATTGGGTAAGAATTACACACCGAATAATGGTCCAATATTGTAAAGTAGACGCCTAGTCATATTTGAACAACATTGGTTCAACAATATTAGAGCCAATATTAGGAATTCAATATTAACCAATATTTTATATTGACTATATATAGTTTTCAAATATTTCGCCAACATTGTTCAAAAACTAAATTTCAATATTGGCATAATATTGTTGAACCAATATTGGACCGATATCAAAGACTCAATTTTTATCCAATATCGGCTGTACATTATTTTTCCAATATTTCGCCAATATTGGGCAAATTGGAGATACAATTTTTGCCCAATATTGGTGAAATATAGGAAAAGTAATGTATAGTCAATATTGGCCAGAAATTGGGGTCCCCAATATTGACCGAATATTGGAACGTCAATGCATTTCCAACATTGGCCGAATGTTGAAACGCCAATCATTAATATTTTATATTCTGATTGAAATTTTTTCAAATGTTCCTTCTAGGAATAATATAATTTAAGTACCTTTAAGATCGTATTGTTTCAATATCGATTCCTCCATCGAATTTCTTGGCTGACAAAGATTAGTACGAAAACAATCAAGCAAGGCACGCAATTCACACTGTCGCATCAAAATGTTTAAATACTTTAAGCACAAACACATAAAGGTTAGAACGAGGAATAGACTTTCTGTTAAATCTTCCACATCGTTTCTCATACGTATAAGCTCAGCCATCTCAAATATCGTAAAATGATATATTATAGCAGCAATTGTATATCTATCAAAATTACATGTACGTCAGGAGAAAAATTACATAATACACGGTACATCCCTGACGGAAAAGTTGTACGAAAAATTACATAGATTGAGACAAGATCGTAGAAATTATTAGATATTCGCAGTGGGACGTAGAGCGACGTTGTTTCTTTGAAAAACCTAGAAATCCTTCACCCTCAAACAACGGCACTCTACGTCCCATTACGAATATCTACGAAAAATTAAGAATTTCTAAGATTTTGTCTGAATATATGTAATTTTTCTGTACTTTTTTGTAAAAATTTTTTTTTCGCCAGAGATAATTATAATTTTCAAAAATGTATATCACTTAGAAACTAATTAATGAACAGTACATTTATAAGTAATTTCGTTTTAATGTATATTAATGATAAAATGAATTACTGAATTTATTTGCATGACGTATGTCTTATATCTATTCTACCTGTAGCAGAAACTGATAAAGCGTACTATCAAGTTGTTATTCTTATGTTCGTTCCATACACCGCAGAAACGAAGAACGTAAAAATTCATCGGCAGTAAGTCCATATTTTTATTATCGTCGTATCTATAAACGTAACAGCAATGGTGAAGTATAGTATGTGTTTAGTATTTGTTTAGAGCTGTTGCGACATCCCCGATGACAATGTTCTTGCATTAATAACGATGTCTAAGTATACGGTATTGTTACGGTACATTATTTTTTAATATCATCCATCAGAACGAAACATATGGACTTCTGCCGTTGTTTGTTCGTATTTTTATTTTTGATTTTATTAAATGAAGTAAAACGTCGTGACTGTCTTCAATGTAGATAAGTTGTCACTTATTTAGAAGACTTTCTTCTACATTATCTTATAAACATAAAAATCGTAAATGAAATCGTAAAATAAGAATTCGTAAAATTATGGGTTTATTATAAGGAACATTTTATTCCAGAGACGAAACACGTGACTCAATTGTTTCGGAAGATAATGGCTAAGAAAAAAACTGCTTCCGTAAAAATTTCTTTAAAGAATCTTTTTAAAAGAAGTGAAAACAAGTGTATAAAACCAAATTGTACAGGAGAAGGTGGTATTATGACCAGTGTAGATATAATAGCCCAATGTACATTGACTTCAGTAAGTACAATTATTGAGTTAACACTTGGTTTTGAGTATGACGTATATATCAGAGTCAAAGTCATGTGTATATTATATATATATATACATACCAGATGTTTCAGAACACTCATACCATCCTTTTATCTTCGCAGAAGATGAATAAGGTCCAATCGAAAAAATGTTCAGACAAAAATTGTAGGGTTTCAAAAGATCTATTTCCTAGTGCTATGAGTTTGACTTTGGGTGGCGTCGCCAAGGTCAAGTCAAGGTCATGTCAATTTTTTTAAATGGAACATGCTACTTTTTATTTCAGAATCTAATAGCCGATGTCGAGAGCTTTCCAAAACACTATAATAAAGTTATTTTTTATTGAGTACTTTTCGAGTATTATAAGACTCGAAAGTTACAGTACTGCCGGCATTAGCGTTACGTAAGGTGTACGGCACGATCGACGGTTAAAACCTCTTGAATGTTGTTTAGGAATCATGTCTTGGATAACATTGGTCAAGATCAAGGCCATTGGAGATTATTACAGGGTGATCCGAAATTTCAGCATTTGAAGTACAGGACATGATACTATATACTAAAAGAAACAACTACTTTTTCCTTTTGCAAAATTGCGTCTGACAAGTAATTTTTGTAGGAGAGCAGGTTGAAGTTAATAAATAAACGCAAAAAATTATTTATCGAATGCAATTTTGCTAAAGAAATAAGTTGTTTATTTTAGCATAAAGTATATCATGTCCTGTACTCCGAATGCGGGAATTTCGAATCACCCTGTATATATATAAATATTTTATATTTATATAACATTAAATTTACATTTCCTGAGATAAACGAAAGAACCGGAATCTTCCCACCGGTTTTGAAAAGTCTTTGGACGAGCTTAGAGATCCTAAAAGTAGAGATCGGCCAACGCCGACTCGATCCATGACTGGCTCTGCCATGACGTTGTGAAACCGGATGTGAGAGAGAGAGAAGCGAATATGAGAGTAAGAGAAGCGACACCAGCTTCCCAAGTAGAACACAGAAGTCATGAGGACATCATCATGACCTCATTCGTCACTTATAAGTCAATTTTTTGGTATCAAATGACATCATGATGACGTCCTGTGATACCATTATGACTTAATTATGACTCCGTGTTCTATCTGGGTTGCTGTCAGGAATGTCAAGATTCTGGCGTTAATATATTGGCGCGTATATATATTTCTAAGATCACGTGATTTCCGGTTTCACAACCTCATGCCGGGCGTTGGTCGATCTCTATTTTTAAGATCTCTAGGCGAGCTGAATCATTTTTTAGCTTTCCATATCTTTAAGTAACTTCCTCATAATTCCTCTAGGCTGACGCAGATCGTCCGGATATACAAACTTCACCGTTATCATATTAAAAATCATTTTTATTTTCGGTTTAGCCGAAGGAAAGAATATCGGCGATTCTATATTCTGAAAGTGTAAAATAGATTTTTATTTTACAAGAAACCAAGTTGTAAAAAGAATTACTTCTAATTATATAAAACATAAATTTTATGCTTTTTAAAACATTAAAAAATTGCAGTTGACCTCAAGTCGGCTTACAGTCGACATTTAAAATCGACAAAAAACCATCCTAGAATAGTCGACTTATGCTCGTGTCACACTACACATTGGAGATTGAGGATTGCGAATTGAGGACTAGAATTCAGCCAATTAGAACGAAACGGATTAAACCTAAAATTACTTGATTGGTCGAATTTTAAGCCTTAATTCACAATCCTCAATCTTCAATGCGTAGTGTGACACGGGCATTAGACTGCGTTCGGAAACATCACCCGGGTATGCCCCGTGTATCATCTTATTTAACATTGGCTGCGTTCAGCAGACGTTTGTTTTACAACTGTTGGAAGTTTCCTTCGCGCTGATTGTATCATACTTTTAGATCTAGAAGAATGGTCCTATCTCTGCAGACAATCATAAAACGGTTGCAAAACTGTTGAGTCTATTGAACGCAGTCATTGGGTGAACAACAAGGATAAAACGATACACAGGCTGTGTTCCAAAATTGACTGCCAGTACTGAAAATCTATAGTACACGTAACGTAAACTGTAGCATTTCCAGTACTGGCAGTAAATTTGAAACACAGCCAATATGCTCCTACTCACTCCATAGCTCTTACTCACTCCAACGCG